CGTCCTCCTGTTGCTCCAGACCTGCAGACTCATTGAATCGTTGGTGCGATCTCCTTCATGCTCACCTTGTCGAAAGAAGGATACACGAGGCCTTCCATGCTAGTCGCTGCTGACTCGAGCTGAAAGGAGCAACATCAGACTCTCCTCCCTCCCTCCCTCCCTCCCTCCCTTCCAACTGCCGACATGTCAAAAACATCTTTTATATTGACTGAAATGAAAACGAATCTAAACCCCAACTAAACTCCAACTAAACTCTAACTAAACCTGTGAACTAAACCCTAAGGGCCTAAATTTACCCGGCCCGGACAACGGTGACCCCATCATTTTTTAAGTAACTTTTGTTTAGTTGGCTGCCGGTAGACCGTGAATGCATGCTAGTCAGCTCCGAGCGAAGGTTTCTACCCTCAACGAAGAGCTCTCGAAGCTCGGGCTCGTCCAGCATGGCTTCATGTTCAAGACGCTGGTGAGGGCGAGCCATCTCCAGAAGCTGCGCTTCTTCCTCCAGGGGTCATCTCCGTTTCTCCCGCGGGTCCAATCACAGATTCGTCGCTTTGACCTCTCTGTCCACCTGGCGCTTGCGAGGTTCAAGCGGGAGCTTCCGCATAGTCGGGGAGGGGACGAGTTCACGCCCTCTGAGGGTCTACACCCCGCTGTTTACTATACGGCTATCGCTCGCTTCCTCGCTTGGTACTCTGACCAGCCCATGTCCCGGACCTTGCCCTCTCCTCATAGCCTGGACGTTCACTGCTCGAGATCTCTCCGTGCCCAGAAGCATCCTCTGGCGACCTTCTTCGTTGAGGCGCACGACTTCGTTCATAATGCTGGAGCGATCCTCTACCGTCGTGTCAAGGCTCCTGCACCGGCTGCAGTAGTATAGGATTTACTGGCAGAAGGTAAAAAGTGCCTCAAGCAAAACAAAGCAGGAACAAGCTGAACCGGCAGGCACACAGTCCACAGCGAGAAGCGGCACAATCACACACAAAACACAAGCCCGAAAAGAACCAGCACTGCTGGCACCCAGCCTCGGACGCGGCAGCGCCAGCTCAAGCGCGAAGCCGCGCAGACAAGCAGCCTAAGGGTCCGAAGCAATCAAGCAACAAGCAGCAGGAGCAAGCAGGAGGTCGAGACGTCCGCTGCAGTGCCGCCACAATAGGGGCAGCGGACGGAGGGAGGCTGGACACAGGAACACGGTACCGCTCGAGGTAGTCCTCCTCGCTAGCCTCCGAGTCAGCGGTAGCCGAGTCAGTGGTAGCCGCCCGTGACGGCGGCGACGCCGCGGCAATGCCCAAGGACCGGCGTGACCCGACCGATGCCGGGGAGGAAGCAGGCGAGCTCGGACCAGCAGCAAGCACCCCAGTGGTGAGGGTCTTGCATCTTCGCTCAATTTCCTGAGCGAGGCCTGAGCCACTCTCCGATGCGAGTCTCGAGCTACTACCCCCTCAAGGCCTTCCCGCACCGCTATGCTCAGATGCTCGACTGCTATCTCCATGGCATGCCGATCTGCCAGTGTCCGACGGAATGTGATGGATGTCAGCGCGAGCTCGATCTCTCCGCTGCTGCACATCATCTCCAGACCTGCAAACGCCGATCCTCCAAGCTTCCCACGGCGCATGACAACCTTTCGGTCGATGCTGAACGAAGCTGGTCTTCAGAGCGTCATCGATACAGTGGGGGATCCTCGTTCTCGACGGCAGGTACCCTCCCATCCTCATGGCCGCAAGATGAAGGGCGATATCCACATCCCTGGAATCCGCGATCGAGGGTCTGAGCAGTACGAGGGCTTGATGGCGGACGTGACGTTGGTCCACCCTTACATTGGTAGCTCTGCCGACCTGACCAAGTGGGGGGAGGTCAACCTCGACGCCCTCCATGTTGCAGCGTCTGAGAAGATTCGCAAACATCGCGCTGCATATGCCATGACTACTCCTCCTCGAGCGTTCATCCCTCTTGCCATCTCGACGGACGGTACCCTGCATCCTGACACCCTCCGCTTCATCTGGTATCTCGCGGACATCATTGCTCAGCGCTCGATGCCTCTTGAAAGTATATAGGAGTATAGTGGATTTACTGGCAGAAGGTAAAAAGTAGGATTTACTGGCAGAAGATAAAAAGTGCCTCAAGCAACAACTTTTTACCTTCTGCCGTTCATGTGTCCAGCCTCCCTCCGTCCGCTGCCCCAGGCGGACCCCCGGGCAGCGCCGGCTCCTTGTCGGCGGCTGCTTGATTGCTTGACCCTTAGGCTGCTTGTCTGCGCGGCTTCTCGCTTGGGCTGGCGATGCCGCGTCTGGTTCTTTTCGGGCTTGTGTTTTGTGTGTGTTTGTGCAGCTTCTCGCTGTGGACTGTGTACCTGCCGGTTCAGCTCGTTCCTCCTTTGTCTGCTTGAGGCACTTTTTATCTTCTGCCAGTAAATCCTATATCAGTTCTGCCAGTAAATCCTATACTCTCTAGCAAAACAAAGCAGGAACAAGCTGAACCGGCAGGCACACAGTCCACAGGAGAA